CAAGGAAATGATGTCTTTTTTTGGGTTTCTTTCAAGTGTTTAGTGTGTGTGTGTGTTGTTGTAAAGAAGAAACCTAAAAATTTGGGAGTTTCCTTAAATGAAAGAAGATGAGGGTACATGGTTGATATTATATATATATATATATTGTTGTGTGCCACGATAAGTAAAGAAAATGAAGAATTTCTTGTTTTTATACAAATGCATTTATATTGATGATGGATTTCTTAACATATGAGAATTGTTGAGATTGGAAGTTGTTGTCCAAATATTGCTATAGTTGTGAAATGATTAAAATGATGGAAGTGTACGAATTGTGGACGTATTGTTATACATTGATAAATGGTAGCAAACTTTTGGCTATTTGTTGGAATAGCATTGAAAAGAGAAAACGGGAATTTTGATCTTTATGGAACATTTGTTAGAGTTATGTAAAAAGTGGAGAAATTTGATGTAGGATAGATAATTGTTGTATCGGCTTTTCTAAAACCTTGCATGTCATGAACATTGAATTGAGATTTGGAACTTTCATTGAGAATGAAATATTGTGAAAGGAAATCATGGAAATGTTTATGGGGTAAATACGTTGGTAAGTCCGGATAGGAGGTGTAGATGGAATTGATAAGTTGGCCTGAGTGTCTGGGGTGAAAGATCAAAAACACGCGCGGAGGAGGTACCACTTCCCTTCCGGTTAGCAACCGGTAAAGTGGGGTTTAGTAGTGCTAGTCATGCCTACTTGCAGACACCAACCTAGAGATTACCTGAGTCGTATTTACCGCCCCATTGAATAAAATTATAAATTTCTGAATTGTTGAGATTTTAAGCTATTGTTGAACATGGTGTGTTTTTTTTTTTTTAATTATGTAAATGAAATCCTCTTTTAATTGACATTGCATAGCATTTGCATTTCATATTGGAAATCTTGCATAACTGCATATACTTTGTTAAGGATTCTCTACTGGGCTTTATGCTCACCCCTTTAGGATTTTGGTGTAGGAAAAGATGTGGTGATCTTGTCGAGTTGAGGGCATGGATATATTTTGTGGAGAGTAAATGACTCTTATTTTGTTGTGATTCCTTTTGCTAGCCAAGGGCTATAAATGTATGGGTTCGTGAAACCATTTTTGTGTAACCGAGCTCAGGCCTTGGAAGATGTAAGCCCTCAAGGGCATTTTATTTATTTTTGGGATTTAATGTTCTACATGCTATAGATTCATGTATTCTATATCATTGAATGTATAATTCGCATGTGGGACTTTTTGTACAAACCTTATTGATTAATGGATGTTGGTTGATGTACCTAATTTATGTTGGATTAGTTTGGGGCGTTACAGAGTTCTTCATGCTCAGTCTAGCTTATGCTATGTTTAACCTAGTCTGGCTGAGGCTCTTTAGGTGCAGTCTATATTTAACTCAACCAAATTTGTTTAATTTTGGATTAAGGCACGACACAGATAATGGGAATCTTGAATTGTTGTCATAGTCCTGCGATCATAAATACATGCATGGCATGGCAAGAGCCAAAATGGACAAGTGTCCCGATCACCAAAATAAAACATACAACAATTTAAATCAAACATAAAGCAGGAACTGCAGCTTTATTGGAAATAGCTTTTCAAGTGTTCGACATTCCATGGATGAGGAAGGTCTCTGCCTTCCATGTCTTGGAGACGGTATGTGCTTGGGTGGGGTCTTGCTTTGATGATGTAAGGGCCTTCCCACTTAGTTGCTAGCTTGCCCTCGATTGGGTTTTTGGTGGCGAGAGTGGTTTCGCGTAAGATGAGGTCTCCTACTGTGAACGCCCTCAGTCAAACTCTGCGATTATAGTGCTTCCTTACTTTCTGTTGGTATGAGGCCAGTCGGATGGCAACTATTTCTTGCAGTTCCTCGATGAGGTCTAGGTCGACTCTCTGAAGGTCTTCGTTCAGGTGTGGATTGGGGCGGATGATTCTGGGCGTTGGTAGGCTGACTTCCACAGGGATGACCGCTTCGGCGCAGTATGTCAGGCAAAATGGGGTCTCCCTAGTTGGAGTCCAGGCGGTCATCCGATAGGCCCAAAGGACGTTGGGTAATTCCACTGCCTAAAGGCCCTTGTTGGCCTCCAGCTTGGTCTTGATGATTTTCAGCAGGGAGCTGTTGGTAACCTTCACTTGACCGTTGGCTTGAGGATGGCCTGGAGAGGAAAAACAAGTCTTGATGTTGAGTTCTACGCAGAATTTTCTAAATTTGGCGTTGTCAAATTGTTTGCCATTGTCAGAAATAATGGCTTAAGGAATCCCAAACCAGCACACAATAGACTGCCAGATGACTTAGTGGTATTCTGCTCAGTAATATTGGCAAGAGGTTCTGCGTTGACCCACTTGGTAAAGTAATCGATGGCCATTACGACAAATTTTACTTGACTCCTGCCAGTCGGCAAGGGACTCACAAGATCGATTCCTCATTTAGCGAAGGGACAAGGGCTACTGAGCGTGATCAACTTCGTTGGAGGGGCGTGAAGGATGTTAGCGAAGCGTTGGTATTTGTCGCATTTTATCACAAAATCAGCGGCGTCCTGACTAAGTGTGGGCCAAAAGTAACCTGTTCGGAGAATTTTATAAGCCAGAGATCGTCCCCCTAGAGTGATTTCCACAAACTCTCTCATGTATTTCTCTCATTACATAAGTTGCTTGGTCATTATTGAGGCATCTGAGATATGGTCGTGAGAATCCCTTTTTATACAAGGTGCCACTGATAATGACGTAATTCGACGACCGAGTCCTGACTTTGGCAGTTTCAAGTTTGTTTGCCGGAAGTGTTCTCCGCTGGAGGAATACGACGATGTCTTGGGCCCATTATTGGTTTCTCAAAGTTACTGGGCTTTAATATCCAAGCCGTGGGCTAGGCCTTGTGTCTAGGTCGTGGGCTAGACCCTCTTGGAGGCCCATTAGTATCATACGCAGGCATAGATTTCTTTTGCTTCTTTGGGTGGAATGTGTATAGATCTTCTAAATATAGGGGAGGAGGGGGGAAAAGATTTTAGAATCCAATAATCACATAAATATATATATATATATATATTGCGGTTTTATTTATTTGTCATGATCTATGCATACTTAGGAAGTGGACAATGTCAAATTATTTGATGTTCTAAGCTTGTACAGATTACATTTGTACTCCACACAGATTACTCTTGCACCTCACAGATTACATTTGCATCTCATAAAATATTTATCAATCTCTATCCCATTAACTTTCCATCAACTAATTTATTTCAAAATAACATATGCTTGCCCATGTCTTCTTCTTTTTCTATTCTCTCTTTTTTTTTTCTTTTTTTTCTTTTTTTTTTTTATGTCCGTTATTATCATGTCAATATTGGAGTTGCATATTTCATTTATGATATATATCGCTCAATATTGGAATTGTGTATTTTTTTGCTTATGTGGAACTGTTGGCCATATATTTTGTATTTAGCCAATCATGGCCTGACACGTGGTCGATCAGGGGTAATTTGAGGAATTAGTAAAGGTCTCCAATCATTAGAGGACACATGGCAAATTATACCAATAACATGGATCTACGAAGTACTGGAATAATCAAAAAGAGCAAGGTGACGTGGCTAAAACAGTTATTGAAGGTGTAAATTCAAATTTAGGAGGGACGCCCAACTGCAAGAAGTGACTTAGTGGAGGCAAACTACTTGGAGCCATGTTTGATGTTTGTGAAGATTACTTCGTCAGTTATCAACCTCTTCGTCAGTTACCAGTCACTTCGACAATTGTCACCAGAGCATATAAATAAAAGAGAAAGTTGATAGTGAAGGGACTCAGAACCAGATCCAAAAATCAGTCTATTATACTTTACATCTTTTTAGTTCTTTACTTTCCAGTTCTTTACCTTCCAATCCTTCACTTTTTCGCACTGCATTTCAGTTTCTTATGAGCAGTTCTACGTTAGTCTGTCCATTGCTATATTCCCTTTCGAAACTGTAGAGATGCGAAGGTACAATTGTAAACACTTGTTTACTTAATAAAATTTATTTTCTGATATTATTCTCTTCCTCATTCTGTTACTATTGTGATTTGTTCTTTTGAATTTTCTCTTAAAACAAGTCACCAATAGAAGTCCTCTTCATTAAGGTTAAAAGAATTTCGAAACAATCATATGTTTAATTGGTTGGCATTTATTATTTTTGCAAGAACTTATTGATCATTAGTGATACGCTATAATTACATTTTTAACATTCGAAAATCAAAAAAGTCAACAGAACAAAGTATTCTTCACTAGATTATGTGAATCTTATCTATATTTATCTATCTAGAAGCAAAGGAAATTATACACATTTCAATTTATATTAAGGTGTAATAAGAATTAAAATTTTAATTAAACATACATAACCTCCGTTTGGGAAGTGGGTTAACTTTTTGGCTTTTTGGCTATTTTAGCTTGGGCTAAAAAGCTTGGTTTGGGAAGGGCTTTTTGGCTTTTTGGCTTTTTTAACTTTTTTTTGTGAGAGAAGAGTGTAATGATTATGGGTTGGATGTGATGTTTTGTTTTTTGTGGCTAAAATAGTCTATTTTGTCTTTTGTGGCTAAAATAGCCAAAAAAGCCCCAAACTCTTCTTGCCAAACGAACCCATAATAATTTTTTAGATGGAAATAAAATCCCCCAAGAGACAAAGAGAGTAGCGGTGATCCAATTGGTATAGAAGTAGAATTTCAAATTCAACAATGATTGAGAATTCTTTTTTTTGGAGATCCCACAATTCTCTTTGAATCTCAACCAATAATGGTGTAAACCCTACATATACATTAATAGTTGGGATTCAAAGGGATTGTAGAGGCCTCAAAAAAAAGAGTTCCAAACATTTTTCTTTCAAATTACAAAAAGGATGAGGCTTAAAACGACGTCGTGAGATCACTGGGCCGAGTCCCGGTGCGGCGTTTAAAATCACAAATATGCAGCTGGTTATTAATTTTCAAGGCCTTGTTTGGCTAACGAGGAATTCACCGTTCCTATCGCTTTTTTTTCCCAACAGAGAAAAACGCTTATCTTCTACGAATAAAGCGGTCCAAACAAGCCGGTGCAAATTGAGGAAGCTTCTCAATTACAATTAGGGCAAAATCAGTTCGATCAACCCCAAATCGAGAAGTTCTCTCTCTCCTTCAACGGTGACAGTTCCGGCGACCGACGGCCTGCGAGTAGCTTAATTCAGGTCAGTATCTCTCATCGCCGGAGGTGATGCTTGATGTCTGGTTTAGGGTTTGTTGTTTATGATATTGTATTCTTTATTAGTTTGTTGAAGAACTTGTTTTGGCACGGCATGGTGTACGTAAAGTTTGATTAAATGGTGTCATTCATTTAGTTATTATCGATATCAATGTCATTATGTCATATTGCAATTTTTAATCAATTGAGTAGAGAGAGTGTGAACAAGACAAAATAATATGAGAAAAAAAGGTAAACATTAAGAAGAATGGTAGCTCTCAGTGGGAAGAAACTCCCAGTGGGAAGGCATTGCCCACTATCATCCCGGTTAATGGGATGATTTATGTAATTTCAGATATGATATGCCTAACTTTGACACTTTCTTTGATGAGTATGCTATATTTTTTTTTGAAGTTTTTCGACCCAAGGAAAAGAAAATGGTCTTCTTTGTTAAACCCTCCATTCTATCCTAATTCTTGGTATGAGTGTTGGTGTGGGTGTCATCTAGGCATGATTGTTTCTCATGCTGTCATTGAGACTAAGATTTTATTCTGGATCACTAGAAAATATTACATATACGCTTTTCATGTTGATTAACACACATGGGAGTGTAGATTGTTATATGAGATCCAGAAATGGAGTAATGTCGACAACCAATAATGTGTTTTGTATACGGTGTGTATGCATTTATCACTTCAGAATTCGGATTTGTTAGGAGGGATGTTGAAGATCTTGACGTTCTATGAAGTATGGACACTCCAAAATCAGTGTCGTGGCGGTGTCCGACACGCGGACACGCCAGGGACGCGGGGACACGCCCGTGACACGTATGGGACATGCCAGATGGCGTGCCCCTTTAATTTAATGATTTTTTTGTAAGGGACACGGCGGGGACACGTGTGTCCATATCGGGACACGGCATGGGACACGGTGGGTTTCACTTTTTTTTTTCCCTCCTTCTTCTTCTTCTGCCTCTCTTATTTAGTGTTTTTGTAAAGAATATTGTTAGATGTTGAATGTTTTTCCTTTCTCGCCTTAGTTCTTGTCATCGTTTGTTATGACTTTTTTATGAATGGATGATCTATTAATTTGTTTAAATGTAGTGGTTATATTTATTGAATTAATGCTACTATATTAGTATTTGTTAATTTTGATTTAGGATGAATGTAATATGAATCTACACAACACATAAAAATATATAAAAAAATAATAATAAAAAATTCGCCGTGTCCCTGCTGTGTCCGCGTTCTCATTTTTTGAAAATTGCCGTGTCCCGTGTCTATGTCCGTATCCGTGTCCGTGCTTCATAGTTGACGCCATTACCTCTCATAAGCCAAACACATCTGGCTTATTATGAGCTCGTTTGGGAAGTTGGGATTTGGGCTTTTTTGGCTAAAATAGTCACAAAAAAATAAAATAAGTTTTTTAGCCGAATAAGACAAAATATCATATCTTACCTATAATCATTACATTCTTTCTCTCACAAAAAGTCAAAAAAATCAAAATGTCCTTCCCAAATGAGACTTTTTAGCCCCAGATTAAAATAGCCAAAAAGTCAAAAAATCAAAAAGCCAACTCACTTCCCAAACGAACCCTATGTGAACTAAAGTCTACTTGACTCCTCGAATGGATGGTATTGTCTTCTTTAATTCGGCTTTGCTGATGAAAACTTTTGTGGAGCTATGCAATATATAAAAGTTTATGTATTTTGTCTGGTCAAAAAATGCACGGATGATGCGTTTTTTATCGAAGCACATCCTTGGCTAGGTTATTGTATGTTGTTAAATGAAGATTCTTGTGACGTGAAAAAGAGTATAGAACAAATTGAAGTATTTGGTGCTACATATTTGCACAACTCTATGTTTGCTCTTGGGGCAAAAAATTTCCATTCGTTCTTAGTTGCTTGCTTCGCCTTGTATGTTGTTTCAACCCCTTTTATATAAGGGATTGCAACTGACACGAGGAAGTAAGCAACTAAGAACAAAGGGAAGTTCTTAGCTGTAATGGGAAATAGAGAGTTGTGCAAGTCTGTAACATTAAATACTTCAATATGTTCTATACTCTTTTCTATGTTACAAGAATCTTCATTTAACAATTTATAGTGGCTTGGCCAAGGATATACTTCATTAAAAAATCCTTTTGTTTTTTAACTAGACAAAAGACAAAATTTTATGTATTGCTTGTTGAGATTCAACATAGATTCTAGAGTTTTCCATAACCATCTATTGAGTTGGATCAAATAATGGCCCTTTGATCAAATTGATCATAACTATCCATTGAGTTGGTGGATGGCTATATAAAGGGAAGGGATCTCATTTAGAAGGCATAGTAAGTTGAGTCAAAAGCTCAAGTGTAACTGATTCCAAGTAATGTATGATGTGCTGGGTGAGCCATCGGCCCACCTTAACTCAAAGATAGTGAGCATTAGGGTTTAGTGGCAAAACCAGTATCAACAAAATAGGCATTTTAAGAAAGAGGGAGTTCATCAAATTCTTCACATCTATTTTATGTGTATATATATTATACATAATCACATATTGAATTGATTTTGATCAGCAATTGAATTGATTTTGATGGTTCATTGGCTTTTTTGTATTGAAAAAGTGTTTTTTTTTTTTGGGGGGGGAGAATGGATGAGAAGAGTGAGAACAATGGTGTGAAAAAGAAGACAATGTCACCGTGTGATGTACAGGCTCTGAAGAAATGCTTGGAGGAAAACAAAGGGGACTATGTTAAGTGCCAATCGCATATTGAAGCTTTCAAATCCTCTTGTTCTCTGAAGAAGCCACCCAATTTGCCTTCCCAATCCTCCCTGCTCAAGACTGGTGTGGTCTTTGACCTTTAAAATTTGAAATTCTTGAATTTGGACTGTAACCCTTCTACATACTTGCTGTATTAATGTGTATGTTTCAAGTTCAAATCATTGAATGTAATGAAGCAATAAAAAAAAGGACTTGACTTTGATATGCCTATTGTCCACTTTGGAATCCCAGTTGCAGCTTTCCGAAATGGTTTTTTTTTATTCAACATAATTCTTAATGTTGTGAAATCTTGTTGGAACAATAATGGGGTGAAGAAGAGAGTTTGATTTTAATTTTTTCTATGAATTAAGAATGTTTGTTGTTTCCATTGCATTTTTGTGTGTTTTAGTTTTTTGGTGAAATGTGAGAATTTTATAAAGCACGAAACACAATCGACAACAATACCCTAAGCTAACAAGTACATTAAGAGGAAATACTTCCAGAAAGGATTCTAGGGGAAATACCCCATGCACAAATAGGAGTCCTAGAAGTTTGGGTGTTCTCAATGTTAGGCCAAGAAACAACTCTCCATCTAATATCCTCTACTAGATTCCTCAAAAGCTCCACCACAGGCTTAGCTTTAGTTTGGAACAATCTGAGATTTCTCTCCTGCCAAATGAAATAAACAACTGTACGAAAGGAGAGCTTGAACAACTTCTGTTGAAAAGTGTGGCCTTTCCGATTCTGCACAGCCCAGGAAATCAACTGATGCATATCCATGGACTGATGAGACACTCCATTCAAACTTAAAACATCCCTCCAGAGTTTGCTGGCATAGCTACATTGGAAGAATAGATGGTCATGAGCTTCATTATCAGAATTGCAATGCAAACAGGACATGTGAGTAAGTCCCCATTTACTAACTCCGGTGACTTTCGAGTAGCCAAATTCAGGTCAGTATCTCTCATACGCAGACAAGTTGGGTGTGATGCTTGATGGATGAATCTGGTTTAAAGTTTGGATTTCATAATATGTTGTGCCATTGTGGTGGTTGTGATAAAGTATGCTTTGTTAGTTTGTTGAAGAATTCGTATTGTTTGTTAAATGACTTCGTTTGTGCAAAAAAAATGGGGCTGTTTGTAGATAAAAAATGAAACTTGAAAATGCATAAATGGGCAAAGGTTGTGTGTACATAATGCTGTTGGAAAATTAACCAAGACAGTTCTACTGGGCCAGTCAAATTTTACTTGTCAGTTGCCATGGTTATATCCCATTTTTCGTTTCTATATTCCTAGATGAATTGTTAAATTGTGATTTTATGCAAAGCATAACATCATGTTATGTTTGAAGCACTGACTTTTGAATGGTCATTATTCTGGGTTTGAAAAAAATTCTGACATTAGCACAGCCCAAACACCCCCATTACCTTACACCCCCAAAAAAAAAAAAAAAAAAAGCGAAAACAAAAAACACTAGTGATAACTGATATCATGCAAGGTATTGTTTGGTTTAGTGGAATGAAGTGATCATTCCATCAAAAATTTCATTCCTATGTTTGGTTTGACTAAAAAGAAAATGAAAAATATATTGTAAATGGAATCATCATTCACCATTATAAAGGGAATGATCATTCCATAGGATAGGAGAGCCAAAGTAATGGCCATTTCATTCTATTCCATATCATTCCAGTGAACCAAATAGAGCACAAGGGTTTCAAATTTCCATTGGAATAATTTGTCAGCTATATAATATATTTGTGTGAATTATCTATACATATATGTGTATATATGTGCATGAAGATATACATATGCATATAGGATTAATGTTAAGTGGCCGTAGTTTGTGTTGCAGATGGAGCAAGAAGTCATTGAAGCAGATATAGTGTTGCCCACTCACCTTAGTTTCAAAAAGGTTCAGATGTATGAGAAGTACCCGAAGGGACAAGCGAGGGGAAGGCACTGGAAACATCTCAAGCAGATCATCCAAGCCGAAAATTACGAGAACTATCCCTCTGATGAACCCAATTGTGAGTTCAAAAAATACATTGTATTGTGCCTTTTTCTTTCATAAAGCTGTCTTATTTACCAATTTTGATAGACACATTGATGATTTAGTCATTTGATGTTGTGTTATACCGAAGTTATGAATGTATGTTAGATTGTTTCATAGATGCTTTAGCATTTGATCATGTCTTTGGTTTATGGGTGCATTCTATCATAGCTTTGTGAAATTCCGAAATTAAAACTTCCTTTCCTTTGTGTGTGTTAAAATTAGATGTAATACAATTTGAGCCTTAAAAGGAAAAGGATGGTAGGAATTGCAATCCTTCCTCTTGTTCTAGAAAGATAGAGGACAGAAAAGAAAGAAGTAAAGTTTTGTTATGTGAGTAGAAGTGCAATGAAGGCAATAATTTGTTCCAAAAATCGAGGGCAAAATAGATAATTAGTTACTCCCCTTCTTTTCTCTCCATTCCTTCCCACTTTTGTGGAGGAAGTAGAGATGGGCAAGAGAGAAAGGAGCCCCTCTATTTCGCTTCATTTTCTCTACTTCCTTTTTATCAATATGTTGTGTTTCTAGAAGCCTAGATTGATATTTCATGTCAAGCCTTTAAACTTCAAGTGATATTACTTTTGACTTGATGAATTTTTTTTGCCCTTCTGTTCTCTTGTTGCAGATGTTAATATAGAATCGCCACCTTCTATGCATCCATGCAAAAGAATTTGTGATATAACAGGATATGAGGTATGTCGCTCTCTTGAAATATGTGGTTATTGTTTTTTCTTTCCACTCCAGGGGCATGTATGATTTCCTTGTCAAGGTCTGGATGTTTAACAATTATTTTTGGATGGATCCCAAACATTTATCGAAGATAGACTCATTATTCCTGCATGTTTTGTTCTTCTTCTCGGAGTAGGGTATAAATTAGTTTAGCTGGCTATGTGACTGTTTGTGCTAAAGTTGGCTGTTTGCTGTAAACTCGAATTGTGCTCAGTTCATTTTATGCTCTATCCTGTTGAATCTTTCTTTTTTAGCTTTAGCTGCGCTTATGCTTTTTGACGAGTCTAATTTAGCAGTACACTAGCCTAGACATTCAAAGATATAATGCATATGTTAAAGACAGCATGTCAATTCTTCATCTTTGTTGACATAGAATTGACATTATGATATCAATGATAGAATGATCTTCGTGATGACTTGGAAGTTTAGAAAAGAGTGATGGCTATGTCAATCTGGATGAGGAACTCAACTGTTCCTATCATTGCTCATTTCAGAATTAAAATAACGGAATCACACAAGACAAAGAAAATTGAGGACTATTATTCTATGATACAGTCCACCCTTTTTTTAACTGTATTGTTTGAGTTGAATTTGTAATGAACAGAAATTAGGTAAGGCTTTAGGACTAGATGGCTATTAAGGCTTGAAAGTACTTTGGTGTAGAGGGTGTGTCTTGGTTAACAATGACTAAAATGAAATATATTTTGTGGTAGACAGAAAGTTATAATATATTATCCACTGGTTTGAAGCCATCCCATCTCATTCGGGTAACTTTTATTACTGGTAGTACTAATGTTATATCCACCATTGTTTCTGAGTGCGGGGGGACAATTTTAAATTTCACATGCAGGCACCTTACTATGATCCAAGGACCAACCTCCGCTATGCAAATGTTGATGTGTTCAAGCTCATAAGATCACTTCCTAATGAGTATGTTCAGAGGTATCTGACTCTGAGAAATGCGGCAGTCGTTCTGAAGTAACCTCCAATAGTTAATGCAGCCATGGGCACTGTATTTTCCTGTAAATCAAATATTATGAAAATGTGAAGTAGGTTTTATGTGGAGTTTGTTTTTGTTTCTTCATGAGCCGCTTGCTGTAATGCGTGTTAATTAGAGAAATTTTAGAGCATTATAGACAGCTGTGGTGCCTGATGAGCAATTGTGGTGGTTAGTGAGATGATATGCTGTCGGATTTGTTAGTTTGCTTTCAGGTCAAATGGTCTCATTGTAAAAGGCTGTTTTGTCAGCAAGTCATGCTTGATTTGTGAATCGATTGATATAATACTGTGTCTCTATAAGACTCATTTGTCGAGCTTGCACCAACTATTTGACTGATAATGAGTCTGTTTAGTGTCATATTCATCAATTTAAGCGGGTTTGCTCAAGGAAGGAATTCATGAACACTTTTATGAACCAGTTTAATTTTTAGATTGATCGCTCTGTTAATTTTTAATCAATATTGTGTTTATTGTTAAATGAGATGATACTTTTAAATTGAAATAATTAAAAAAAGTTAGGATTTGATTTGTTATTAGATGAGTGTTTTTTTGGTTGTTTGTAATTTTCGCAAAATTTTATTAGCATGTTTTTACTAAAAAAATCATATCTTCTTCTTGTGTAACTCTTGGACCCAAAAGAGTTATGCAATGCTTACTTTTAGACCATATCTGTATTCAGTCATTTTGATTTCATCAAGGCTTCTGGTAAAATTTCCAAAATCTTTTTTTCTAATATTGATTTTAAATGACGTTTGCGACATTGATTAAAGCATAATGGATTGTAAATTTTAAAAGTTAATATGAGATAATTAAAAAAAAAAATTGATCTATACTATTATAAGAAGTGTTTGGGTGTGCAAAGTTGTACACCATATGCACAATTCATAAAATTAAGTAAATTTTTATAAAAATGGTTGAATACAAATTCGTGTAAGTCTATTCAAAAAAGTTTTGAAATTTATAAAATTATATAAATTTTTACGAACTTATCATCTTATGAAAATATATAATTCAAATTACAAAATTATATAATAAAGGTATATGCATATGATATTTTTACACTTTCTTTGATGAGTATACTATTTATTATTATTATTATTTTTCAACCCGAATAAGAAAAAAAAAATTGGTCTTTTTTTTGTTAAACCCTCCATTCGATCATAATTCTATAAAGTAGAAGTATTGGTGTGGGTGTCAGCTAGGCATGATTGTTTCTCACACTATTATTGAGTGTCATTACTTGTTGAGATTTAGGGTTGGTTTGGGATGTCTTAAAAAAGTGTACTTTTTGACTTATTGGTGGGTTTGGGTTGGGTTTGATGTGATGTGTTAGAGAGGTGATGTGATTTAAATAAGATGATGTGACTTAAATAAGATAGCGATTTTTTGACTTTTTGGCTTATTTAGTACATGCCAAACTAGCCCTTAATAGACTATAGAATTTTCCACGTGAGCGTAGAAGACTCAAGAAAGTTTAGAGAAAATTGAAATATTCTAAACACTTGGAGAAATCTAAATAAATCTAAAAGGTTCGAGAAGATTTTACAATATTCTAAAAAAATATAAAAAATTACATTATGTACTAGGATAATTTAGAGAATTCTAAAATATAATAGAGGGATGAGGGTATCTTATAATATTTTAGAAACTAAATAATTGATCATAGCCATCTATTGAAGAGGTGAATGACTATGGGCTATTTTGGGAAGTTGGCTTTTAGCCACTTTTTTTGGTTTGTAGCCAAAGCCAAAAATTGGCTTTTTTGCATTTTTTTCCATTTGGGAAGGTGGTTTTTAGCTACTGGTAAAATTACAATTCTACCCCTTATGGGTCAAAATGTGCAACATGAGTGAAGTTGTAAATATTTTAAATTAATGGGGGTAGTTTGGTCATTTTATTGTGATTTGACATCATAAACAAATATTAATCAAAAAAGCCAAAAGCAACTTTTTACCAACTTTCCAAATCATTTGTCTAAAAAAGCTAAAAACTTGATTAAAAACTAAAAAGTCACTTTTTACCATCTTCCCAAAACAACCCTATATAAACTAAAAGAATCTCATTTGAAATACATAACAAGTTGAGTCAAAAGCTCACGTGTGAGTGATTCTAAGTTATGTATGCTTGACACTTTATTTTATTTTATTTTATTTATTTTATATAGCAAATGACTAAAGTTATAAAAATTGTTTTAAACAACATTAACTAAATTAAAGAATAACTAATAGCTTACGTTCACTGAATAATTTCCAAGATGCATTATAGAATTCCATACAAATTGGACAAGATCCACAAGACTAAGGCCAAGTTTGGCATGATTGAAAAAAGACAAAAAGTCAAAAAGTCACTATGCTATTTAAGTCACATCATCTTATTTAAGTCATATCACCTCTCTAACACATCCACTTTATTTTATTTTATTTTTTTTATTTTATATAGCAAATGACTAAAGTTATAAAAATTGTTTTAAACAACATTAACTAAATTAAAGAATAACTAATAGCTTACGTTCACTGAATAATTTCCAAGATGCGTTATAGAATTCCATACAAATTGGACAAGATCCACAAGACTAATACTATGAGGATGTTTTTGTTTCAAATAAACATTCAGCAAATTATTTAAGTTGCTGCTTAAATGTAAAACAAAAAATTTTAAAACGTTTTAATTGTTATTTGATGATTTGTTGAACAACTTTATTCACATACAATTGATTCGGATAATAAGGGACTACACCATTAAAAAATGTACTGTTCTTGTTCAAAACGTTAAGATGAGTGCTATGCATACATTATCAACTTCACGTGCCCGTGAAAAAATCTCAACATGTTTTTGATGAGTAATGGAAAGTGAGGAAGATATCACAATCTCAAAAGATTGGAGATCGTGATAATGTCTTATCTTGACTTTTAGTTGCTGATAGGACAAGTTTCTAGAATTCTCATTTCTTTGTGATATTAACGTATAAATATTAATGTTAATTGCTTTAACAGGTAAAAATATTGTGTTGCAAAAGTTTCAGAGTAATCAAATTCCATCAGCTAAAAAAAAGAACATATAAAATATGACAATCTTGAAGCCTTGTTTATGAATAGACTATTTTAGTAATTTTTTGATTTTTTATAAAAAATTAAATAAAAAAATAAAAAGAGTGATGTAACAAATTATAATGATTTTTTTGACTTATATGACTCATTACTCTCTCTCACCATAAAAACCTATCTTTCTCACGATACTTGGTCATTATTTGATAATAATTGAAAAAATAAAAAATAAAAATATCAAAAAACAATCCTAATAAGAAATTTCTATCAAACCAAAAATTGTCAAAAAAAAGTTATAATATAGAATGCAATCAACCATGAAACATTAACCCAAAAGAGCAAACTACGGGTAACTCTATTTACACACCACTCATTTACTCACTACCCACCGTTTCTCAATTTTTTTTTATTACAATTGTGTCCCTTAGTTAAATTACTTTTTTAGACAAATCTTAAACCCTAATTTCTCATACACACCTAAACACCACCACTGCAATCCACAAGCCTCTAGCTTCGAATCAGTGTCGACGTCGCGCCCTCGCCTTTCTTCATTCTTCTTGTGACTCCACCTCTTTCATCCTCAAGCCTCATCACGCCTCTAGTTTTCCACATCATCCTCCTCCTCATTGTTCTTCTTCTTCTTCTTCACCGTGAAACCCTAATCTGTCCCTCTGTCTTGCGGCGGATCTCTCTCTTTCGCGTAACAGCGAATCTCTCTCTTTATGCGATTTGGGCGTCATGATGGATGAGGGTTGTGGCGAAGGTGCATCACGGCGGTGAGGGGCTGCAATTTTACTAGGAAAGCATATCTTGGTGGCTATGGCTGATGACGACGGTCGGAAGTAGAGAACAAGTGTAGACTTGAATAAAAAAAGAAAATAGAAGGTGCATGAGGAGGGTTATGACAGGTGGCGAGAGGGAGGCGACGAAAGAGGGTGGCGACCTGAAGGACTGAGTAGGAATGATGACTGGCGGCTCGCTGTTGATGGCGATGATAGGGTGGAGTTAAGGTTAGGGTTGTGATTGGAGAAGAAAGGGATAGTTTGGGAATATTGAAAAATTGATGGTGTGCATTGAGCAAAAAATAAAAAAATCAAAATTAGATGTGGTGTGAAATGAGTGAATGGTGTGTATTGAAAGAGTTTTATGTTGTGTAAATAGAGTCGCCCGCTACAGCTTGACAAGCAAAAGCACGAAAGGAACTCTAGAGGAAGAAATTTAACTGACAAAAATACCACACACGCTGAAGAAAAAAAAAAGAAACTAACATGAAATGCATAACTTGTTTAGCTTATAATTTAGTTTGAATTTTTTAAAAATAGTTTTTTAAATTTTTAATTCATATTTTTATAGATTTTTTTAAATATTCTAATATATATATTTTTACTTTTTAGATTTACATAATCTTGATATATTTAAAAAGTATAAAATTTGTACAAAAAATATATAAAAATTTTATTGAATACAACAAAATACAAAAATATACTAAATCTAAAAATATAAAATTTACGTAAAATATTTTAAAAATTTACTAAAAATAAAAAAATCACAAAAAACAGCAAAATTCAATTTCAAAAAACAAAGATAACCGAATAAGCAAACTCAATAAGAAATTTCTATCAACCAAAAATGGCACAAAAAATGGGTTGAGCTTGAAATGCAATAGAATCAAGATGAAATCAAGCCTATTTCAAATTTCAGATATACCTGTCAACCCCATTCATAAATAAAAATCTTTCCAAAAATTAGACCAATTTTAGAAATCAAAACACATTTAAAAATAAAACCCATTTCACATTTAAAAATAACACCCATCAAGCCCATTTTAAATTTTAGAAATCAAAACCGAACAAACCTATTTCAATTTTCAGAAATCAAACCCATCAAACCCATTTTATAAATCAAAACCACTCTAACTACAATAAATTAAAATAGTTTACACCAAAATCATTAATTTTAAAGCAAAACCTAGTGTCATTGAAAGAGGAGAGAGGGCGGCGAGAGGATTGGTGGTCAATGGTTGGAAATTGTTATTGCAATGGTGGTCATCGCAAGAGGAGAGAGATGAAAGAGGACGGCGAAAGGAGAGCATAGGTGGTGAGCCACGGTGTTGTTGCGAGATGAGAGGCAGATGATAAATTGATGAGAGATAGATGAGAAAGAGAGAAGCGTATGAAAAAGGGATGAGCTTTGGACAAAGATGAAAGACAAGAGAGAGAACATTTGGATGGAAAAAAAATTGATCTCAATTGTTTATTTTTGTTTGAGAAGATCTACACCGTTAATACTAAATGTATACGTTTTGAATATTTTTAAAAACTGTCTTGCTTTATTATATAGATTGTTAACTCGTCTTAATGACATTTTTATTATATTTAATTTTATTTCTAAAACTTTGCCCCTGTTTTTGGCAACATAGTTGGGATTAATTCAACCTATTAAAATAAAATATGTTAAAAAGTCTATGAGATAAAATATCAAATCTAAATCATAATTATTTTATTTTTATGTCTCACAAGTCTACAAAAAAAAAAAAAACTAAAAATTCATTATAAACAAAACTTTTTTAATCAGACTAAAATAATAAAAAAAAAATCAGACTAAAAAATTTATACCTAAACAAAATTTTAGGCCTCGTTTGGCAAGTAGTGATTTTAGCCAAAAAATTAAAAAGTCACTAAAAAAATCAAAAAGACAGCAACGTATACAAAAAAGTTAAAGTTTTTCTTTCCTCTCTACTTTTTGCATATCTTTTCGTAAAAAACTAAAAAGTCATCCCAAGCATACTAGTTTTTTTATATCATATTTTAATCAAAAAGCTAAAAAGTTATTTAAAAAAAACTTATTTTTAAAAAAGTCAATTTTTTTTTTTTTACATCATGTTAATTATCATTTATTGCATGATATGTACGTGAAACTCTTATTTAGTAATTGTTTGCGATGTGCAATATAAATGCACTTTTTGATTAAAAAAATAGAGAAAAAAAAGTGTATGTTTGAAATAATATTTTAACTTTTTATGAAAATGTCTATAACTTTTTGACTTTTTTAGTTTATCTCAAATAAGGCCTAACCTTTGCCGTATAACAAAGTTTTTTTTTAAAATTTTTTAAATTTTGATAATTAAATAATTAGGTTAATTTTACAACCACATCGACTAAGTTTTGTTCAAGATGTGCTATATAAGTATATTTTTAATTTTTTTTTTCAAATCAAATTATCTCTTTATTTTTTTACATATTTTTTTTATAAAAAATAAAAATATATATTTATTTAAAACATCCCAAATAACCTGTAAACTCTAAACAACCAATATATATATATATATAAAAGAAAAAAAAAAAAGAGAAGATAACTAAACAATCCAACGGGACTGACACAATTAGACATAAACTCGTGCACTTCGTCAAAAAGTGGAGGCTTTTCCCAATATAAGCCCTTTTTCCATTGTATTTCCAAAACTAGGCCAACTTCTGACGGAATTCCAAAACTAAGTGAAAAATCTAGAAATCCCCTAGATGTTGATTTGTGATTATGTATCAATTTTAAGCAGAATATAACAATCTCAATCAAACAATCAAGACAAAGAGACACAACGATTTAGCGTGGAAAAAACCACAATTGGACACCTCCAACTGTGATAAAAAAACCACGGGCAACAGCCACAAGAACAATCCATTAAGAAGATTTAAAGGAATTACACAGGTATACTCTCAATTACCTAGCGAATCCACAACGCCTAATTGAACCAACCTCTATGTGCCTCTTCCAACCCCATCTTCACCACGGAATTGTCTTTCTGATGAGCCACTCCGGATTCCACCAAAGCTTCAGGCTCGAATTCTTCAGAATCCACAACTGAAGAACAACTCTCTCTTTTGTGTATAACAAACAAACCTTTGATGTACTCTCTTTAGATCATGAGTTGAATACTCAATAAAAACATCAAAGATAACTAGCAAAATCTCTCCAGATATAAACCTTAAGATCCAAAAAATAAGATCTGGAGAAGTCCCATCAATCACTTAGTTTTGGGAGAAAACCAAGTATTTACAGAGAACCAAAAGTAATCCTAGATTGGGAAGAAAGCCAACTCCTTAATCAAATCTTGGAAATCTGGGATCGCGCGGTCCGCTCGAGCTCAACACAGCCCGCTCGAGCGGACTGACCAAAAACTGTGTGTGAACAAACTGAGATGCGCTCGAGCGTAGGATAATCCGCTCGAGCGTAAAATCACACCCACCAGAATTTTTTGCTTGCCCTGACAAAATACTGAGACCTGCTAATCTACGCTCGAGCTCACAAGGCTCCGCTCGAGCGGACAGAACAAAAACACAAAAAATTACAATTGAATCAACACAATGTTTTGCTGACCGGGCAGCTCGACCCCCGTAATAATCAGCGAAGTGGCAATCTCGAAAGCATTAACATCACAAACTTCTCTGCATGGTTTGATTCAGGTTTGGATTCGCATCTAATAAACTCATAGCCTCACTGAAATAAAAAGTGCGAAAATAAATACATCTGAAAGGAGTTTTGTCAAACGGGGTTGCCAAGAATAAAAACCTAACACTAAGTTAAAGCGCCATTACTATTCGCGCTTTTACTGTTAGGAGCGCAAAAGTAGATGAACAGGAAAATCGCTATTACAAATAGCGACTTTGATTAAGAAGTCGCTGTTACAAATAGCGCTTCTAGGGTTAATTTTTTTCCCAAGGAAAACGCTGTTAAGAACAGCGCTTTTAATCCAAATTCATTTTTCCCAGAAAACGCTATTACGAATAGCGATTTTAACATGAATAAACGCTATTACAAATAGCGATTTTAACAGAATTTTTTTTTTTCGCCCAGCGTTTTTAACATAAACTTTGTTGGAATAAAACGCTATTTTCAAGATAAAACAAAAGAAAAAAACATAAAACATATTTTAAAAAATATATTTACACTGTATATTTTAGTACTTGGCTTTACTAAAGCCATTATCATGTTAAAATATGTTTTTTTTTTCTTTTGTTTTTGTTTAGAATGTGTAATTCATAAATTTTACATAATATGAAAAAAAACCTCTTTTCATATATTAATTTTACATACTATTTTTCATATATATAATTTCAAAATCATATTCATGTAGATATTATTAAGCCAATCATGTTCATTTATTTGGCTTTACTGAAGCCGTTGTCATGTTACATTTTTCATTTTTTCTTTTGTCTTTGTTTTGATTTAGAAAATGTAATTAAAA